AGAGTTATACTGATTAATTGTTCTAACTGTCAGGAAATTTCTCCTTAATTCTAGGTTGCTTGCAGTATAATAATTCAATAGTAGTAAAGCAACCTTCTTGTGAGATGGATGCCAATAAAACTTAGCTAGGGTTGGAAATCCTGGGAATAAAGATGTCTTTAAATATCTTCTATAAGCCATGAGGAATGGACCTAAATGATTATGATGGCTTGCTGTGGTAGCACAGTGGTTAGAATGCAACATTGCAGGCTAATTCTGCCGACTGCCAGCAGTTCGATTCTGACCAGCTCAAGGTTGACTCAGCCTTCCAACTTTCTAAGTTTGGCAAAATGAGGACCCAGATTGTTGGGGGCAATGTTCTCACTCTTGAAACCGCTTAGAGAGAGCTGTAAAGCACTGTGAAGTGGTATATAAGTGGTATTGCTGTTGCTATCTGAATTACTGAACTTTTCTTACTTCTAATTCTCATCTCTGCCCTCCCAATGTCTATACTTACAGACACTGATTGCAATCCCATTTCACCCTTTCTATACCCCTATTTGTTTTGGGTTTTTTTGCTTTTGATACCCCTACCACTGATAAAAAAAAGTTTCAACTTCATACTGTAATAAAAGACCAAATATGTGTAAAATAAGTAACTATCCAAATTGTATATAATGTATATAACTCAAAATGATTAGAGATTTGGGGTATAGTTATCACAGAGACAGTTTGTGCATTAGAAATATGAATGACATAAAGTAATTCTGCATTAAAGTAGTCTGGCAATACAGAATCACNCTAGCCTCCCTTCCATTTAATATTTTATAAACATTTGTCCTTCTCTATTTTTCTATTTTTAAATCATGATATTAAAAATAAGTAAGTTCATGCAGGTAAAGCACATGCAGGAGGCAGTTACACAAATCAAGCCATTTTTCTTTTCTGTAGAATGAAAAACATCTTGTTGCTTATAAAATGAATTTTCAAGTATTTTGTACTTCAACACCTGTCTTCTCTATAAGTTGTAAATGTGAGTGCCTGTTAAGCTGATGATTCCCCATGGTTTCTAAATTTGCATGCGCAAATAAATGTCCTTGTGAATTAAAAATAGTTATTCCACAAATTAGAGAACAACTAGTGCATTAATCTACAGCATATATAATGTACTTCTATGAAAGCATATATTGCACATAAGTGAGTTTGCTGATGTTCAGAGGGTATCTACCACAAGTACAAAAAGTTAATCCAAAATCAATACCAATTTTCTAATGATGCAACAAAGGCGTTCCAATAGCATTTTAAGAATCCAGCCTGAAAATTTTTTTCTTTTCTTTTCAGGGCTGGATGTTGATCTCCATAATCTAGCAATTTGTAGGCCAGAGGTGAAATTAAGTAACTTTTGGAGAAGCAATCCAGATAGGTAGAGCAAAGGAATAATAAAAATTAGGAATTAGAATTTTTTTTATGAAGTAAAGGAGCAAAACAGGAAGATAAACAAAAGAAAAACTACACTAAAAACTTGTTTATAATCAAAGAAATAAGCCCTCATTAATGACAATCCCTTTTATGGACTGAATCTGCCAATGAAATACTTCAAGCGATGAGTCTATTCTACAATTAGAAAGGGTTATGCAAAAGATGTATTGCAGAAGTCTGAATGGTCAAGGGAGTTCTGAGAATTTACAGTATGTACCTGAACTCAATGCAAGATAGGGACTGTGGAAAAACAACAACAAATGTATTAGCTGTTTCCAGTGTTTGAGAACAACAAGAATGAAATTTATATAATGAAACTCAGAATCTCTTCCTACCAGAATATAATTTTAATTGAAAATGCAAAATAAATTAAATTAATTTTAAATCTCTTTTAAAGTGGTTTATATTGAACATAATCGCATAGGGCCTAGATACTGGAGAGACCAATAGTTTCTGCCCATCCAACGTGTTCCATCAGGGTGGTGTGCAATTCCAGGTCTGTTCCACTAAATATTGCCATCTTGTGGGACCTAGGAAGTGTGTCTGCTCAGATACAGCCCCACCCTCTGCAAGAGCATCCCTCCAGAGATAAGGGTGGAGCCCTCTCTCCTGAGCTTCAAGGAAGCTTTGAAAACCTGGGTCTGGTCACATACCTGGGATCTATCTTTGTCACTGTTTAATGGCTCCTGTTTTGTTTTGTGGTTTTTTTTTTAGCAGAGTATTTTATTGATTTAATGTTTCTGTTTTTATGAGGAGTTTTTTCAGTTTTGTAAGCTACCCAGAGACCACTGGAATTGATCTTAACTTAATAAACAAATCAACAAACAAATAGAAAAATTTGGGTTAGATAGCATCACCACCAGATGGATCCGTAGCTAGCTGACCGGCCGTACTCAGCGTGTGGTCCTCAATGGAACCACATCTACATGGAGGGAAGTGTGTAGTGGGATGCCCCAGGGCTCTGTTCAGGGCCCAGTGCTCTTCAACATCTTCATCAATGATTTGTATGAGGGGATAGATGGGGAACTCTCAAATTTGCAGATGACACCAAGCTGGCAGGAATAGCCAACACTCCAGAAGACAGGCTTAGGATACAGGAGGATCTGGACAGACTTGAACACTGGGCGCTATCTAACAAAATGAAATTCAATGGTGAAAAAAGTAAGGTTCTACATTTAGGGAAGAAAAACCAAATGTATAGGTATAGTATAGGGGGCACCTTGCTTAATAGTAGTAACTATGAGAGGGATCTCGGAGTGCTAGTGGACAATCATTTAAATATGAGCCAGCAATGTGCTGCAGCTGCCAAAAAAGCCAACACAGTGCTAGGCTGCATTAACAGAGGGATAGAATCACGATCACGTGAAATATTAATACCACTCTACAATGCCTTGGTAAGGCCACACTTGGAATACTGCATCCAGTTTTGGTCACCATGATATAAAAAAGATGTTGATACTCTAGAAAGAGTACAGAGAAGAGCAACAAAGATGATTAGGGGACTGGAGGTTAAAACATATGAGGAAACGTTGATGGAATTGGGTATGTCTAGTTTAATGAAGAGAAGGACGAGGGGGGACATGATAGCAGTGTTCCAATATCTCAGGGGCTGCCACAGAGAAGAGGGAGTCAAGCTATTTTCCAAAGCGCCTGAAGTCAGGACAAGAAGCAACGGATGGAAACTAATCAAGGAGAGAAGCAACCTAGAACTAAGGAGAAACTTCCTGACAGTTAGAACAATTAACCAGTGGAACAACCTGCCTCCAGAAGCGGTGAATGCTCCAACACTAGAAGTTTTTAAGAAGAAACTGGACAGCCATTTGTCCGAAATGATATAGGGTTACCTGCCTGAGCAGGGGATTGGACTCGATGACCTCCAAGGTCCCTTCCAACTTTATTATTATTATTATTATTATTATTATTATTATTATTATTATTATTATTATTATTATTATTATTATTATTATTATTATTATTATTATTAAATAAATAAATTTCTGGGGAGCTAAGCTCTAATAGTGGTTAAGGTTCTAGACTAGAAGTGAAAACACCCAGATTTTTGTCCAGTCCTTATTCAAGGTAAGAACTAAAAAAAAAATTCTCTATGGAAAGAGAGTGGGAGATTACCGTTCATAATCTTCAATAAAGAGACTTGATTTGGGAATAATAATAATGATGGTGATGATGTTATTACATGTGGTAAATGGCTGAAACTATAAAGGTTGTAAAGTCATTTAATAATACGTACTCCTAACTTTTGTTTAGAGTTCTTGAAAAAAGAATAACACCAAATACCAAATCCAAAAAGCTGATTTCTCTATTTTTCTTGTTTAAATTAGCTTTATCCTC